GCATATACAAATTTCCATTTCTTGGGGCATCATGGCAGTATTAGATGGGAATTAACTTTCAAGATAAAAGGAGGACGCTGAATAAAACTCGAAAACTGAATACAAATTGTCAAGTTAAAACGAAAATACCAAAATCGACAGAAAAACATTTGATACTGTTACAGAAAATGGAGAATTTACTGGTTAAGAAAGTTATATTGGAAGTAGCCAAAAACGAGTAGCAAACAGGATTTTAATCCCCTCTTTTGCTAGTCAAGAAAAAGATGCTGTCCCTAGATTTGTCAGATGCTTACTTACATCACGGCTTTAAAAAAATATCTGCGTTTTGTGGTAGCTCAACATTATTTTCAGCTCAAATGGCCTTTTAACCTCACCCAGGACTTTCACAAAGGTTTTGTTGCCTATAATAGTCATCACGAGAGGGAGAAAAATATGTCGGAACCCCAGGCTTTCGGATGCTCTGATCCCTACTTGAAGTTCTATTTGAACAGGGTAGTGCTAAGGCCAGTGGCAGAATTCTTGCCCAAAGTCACCTCAGCATTGCATCCTAATTAAGAGATTGTTCTTCCCTCATTTACAGTTTCGAAAAGCATCTTCAGCCCTCCAGCTGTGGGTCAGATCTTGAAACAATACAAAGGCAGTTTGTCATTTCACATGGCCCCTAAAGAGGTTAGGCAGCAGCAGTAAGAACTGGATTGGATTGTTAAAGCCAACAGAAAATCCAACACTACTCAAACTTTCAGTACCTGAAGGCTCACATCCCCAGGCTATCTCAACTTCACGGGCCGCCTACTGTTACATATTGTTGGAAGTGATCTGTATATGGTCGTCAGTGAATACTATGTCTATGCACTACAGGATGGATCCACTTGACAACTGTTGAGTTGGTAGATCAATCATTTAAGCTTCTACCTCAAAGTACTACCTTATTTGTAAAAATATTGGGGTTTTATTCAGCGTCCTCCTTTGTCTTGAAAGTTAATTCCCATCTAACACTGCCATGATGCCCCTGGAAATGGAAATTTGTATATGCACCTTTCTGTAATTTTACTTTCCTGGTGCATCTTCATGGCAGCAAAATGTAGGTCCGACCTAGTTGGTGATAAGTTACAAAAGAATGCTGTTAAGAAAGTGAGCCGAAAGGAGTCACTTAGTCCTGTGGGGTTGCAGAGGTTGAGCCGCAATACACTGAGGGGAATTTATCAAAACTACAGCAGACAAAATCCGGAGCAGCTGTGCATGGCAACCAATCAGCTTCTGTGTTTTATTTTCAATCTTAACTGAACAAAGCCGATTGGTTGCCCTGGGCCCAGAAGTACAGCTCTTTATCTGATTTTTGAATGAGAGGATCAGTCTTATTTATAACCATCTGGCTTGGTCTCAGTGTTGTAATGAGAAAATCTGCAGTATCCAGATGTCTTTAAGGTAAGGATGGGCAACCAAAAATGAAACTTCATTTGCGGGGGATGCCTGAAATGTGATGTGTAGCTCAGTGAAGCCTTCTGGAAAAGCAGGAAATGTGATTTTAGGTGTACAGTATACAAAACTCCTCCAGGTTTCAATATTGTAGGAAAGGTACATTGCATTTAACAGTTTTACAAAGTCATAGCAACTACAGATTAAAATAATATAATTTCAAATGATGTGTATAATAATTGCCATTTATCATCAGCACCTCTCAATAGTGAAATAACACACAGACACCAGTACTGGAAAAGATTGGTAATTTATACTCAAGATCACAAATCAAACCATCAAATATTTATATTACAAAGGTATCCACACAATATGTATTGAAGCATATAAATGATTTACTTGGCACCTTTTCCTTATCACCACCACACTGCTGTAAGCTCACCTACCCAAAACAGAGGTTATAGTAAAAGGCAATGAGGACAATATAGTGGTCTGCTGCTGCACTACGACCTGCCAGGCGTATATTACTTGTCAGAGTTTTCAGTATTGTACAGATTGAATAAAGTAGAATTGGCATTCATGGTGGATGCAACCCCAAGTGTTTTTCCTTCCCATCTTACAGCTTCCACATCAGGCACTCCTAGTACAAGTATATTTTTCATCTTATACATTACAGTGTATATAAACCAAATATTAGCCAAAAATTTTACATATTGCAGCTTACTGGTCTTTAGATCTGTTGAACGTGTTCAGTTTTTTTTTTCCCTCTGATGAATATGCAAGTAACAATTCCCATGCTAGGGAGGCAACACTCACACTGTATCTATGGAGAAGCACTGTTGTCACTCTAGGCTACTTGCTCCTGATTGGTGCACAAAATAGTTTTCCTTCTCCTCATCTCCATAACATTAAGGGGGGGGTTGTTCTGCAGCGTACAGAGCAAGTAAGATTAGCCTTGGCCCAAAACCAATGTCAGATTATAATATGGGTTTAACAGAAAATCTATCCAAACTAATCTAAAGCTAATTAAGAAAACGATCTTAACTGAAAACAGCAAATAAGAATTCCGCATAACAGTGTAAACAAGTCAGTGTGGGGTATAGGGCATTTGTTCATTAGGTGGAGCACAATAGAGAAGACTTCTAAAGGTGGGACAAAGGGAAATAGGTATCTGCCCCTACAACCAAAGAGACGTTTTCTGCCTGTTCTGCTCTGGGCAGCAGTCCATATTCATAGATTTTACACAAATCTGTAAAACATATACATACATTCACATGCAGTTAAGGCACTAGAACAACACATGATCCAATTGACATAATACACTTAAAATAAGATTGACACGGTTGTATCTCCCTGAGAAGGCCAGGCTTCCAGAGCACAGAAGTGTCCCTCTATTATCTCTGCACATTCACTTTCATTTGGCTAACTTTACAAAGACTGATAGAATAGCAGCACCTTTCCAATAAAATAAACTGCAACACTGCCCCTCATACTAGATAGAATCAATGTCAGCACCTCTAAAATCATGATTATAAAAGGTGCTGAGGAGAAAAGAGGATACAATGTGTACAGTTCTGTAAACCCTTCATGACCACAAAACATTTAAGCCAAGATATCCAGATCATAGATGAGCAGTTCAGTATGTGTTGGGTAAACTAACTCCATGAATAATTTGCCTGCCTAATTAATTATAAGGCTTTATTTGGTACAAATAATAATTGGCCCGTTCAAATGTATTAATACAGGGCTGAAATGTGATCAAAACTGGCTTTTTTTATATTGAATAGGCTCAATTCCCACAGACTCAACATCTATTAACAGCTAAGTGTCCTTTTCAAATCTTATCAGACTCAGATGACAATGTCTGTCACCTTTTTTGGAAATAAGTCCTGGTTTGCTGGCTTTGTATTTTTTAAACACTGTACTATCTTAAAGAAAATGCTATTTCTTTCTCTGTGCACAGAGAAAAACACACAGACAGACATAACCTGTAAACCTCGTCCAATCACATGACTGTGATCAGGAGTGGTCAATTACATCATAGCTCACTGCATTTACCTGTGCAATTCTAGCTGTGAAGCAGAACGCAGATTAAGGTTTCTCCTAGCACAGCACACTGTTATATATATTACCTTCCTGTTTTTTACTTTAAAGAGCTCAAAAGAATTAAACTTAACCCTTGCAGTGGGGCTACCCCCACACTACAGGGGCTGACAGCTTGTTTTGGTCTAGAGTTGGGGAACAGGATGCTAGACCGGTCCCCACAGCTTCTTCTTCCCTGTGCTCCAGTGATCTAAGCCCTGCTGATGTCATCATGTCTAATGCACGTCCATTCATTATAGTGACAATGTGAGCCAACAGGTTTGTCTGTAAACAAACCTTACTGTTCACAATGATTGGCTTCTTGGTTATACGATTGAAAACCATACTGATTGGTTATTGAAAGTATATAAGAGACTAGTGTTGTCAGTCACTGACACCACGGTCTCAGAATCAGAAGCACGGACCCTAGAACAAAGATTAACGTTCCCTCATCAAACTGTGGTCACAATTGGGTTAAAGAGGACATGCCTTTAAATGTGCATGCTCCTTGCTCATCCATGCTGGCCACTGTGAGGTAGTCTAGGGTGCATGCACATATAAAGGAAGGCAGGGGATGCTCATTTCCATACACCTCCACTTACAAAGAGTGCATTGAAATGGCAGGGTGCTTGATGACCCAATACACCTCTCAAACAGCATCGCGAGCAAGTGATAAAAGGCCAGTGATACAAACTTGTTTGATATACCTAATTACATTAAAGTGGACTTAAGAATTGTTTTCACCTATTTTGAGCCCTACACAATGCCAGTCAAGACGGGTTCTATGCAGCAGGCACTTCAATTGTGGTCAAGTCACAAATGTAAACAATATTTATCCTACTTTGAGGTTTATGCAATCAGAGAGAATACAAATATCTCCGCTCATACTTTATGTCTGCTTCCTTAACCTTACGCTGATTATTGTTTTAGTGGTCAAAGATAAAAACATCCGCAAGCTTCTTATATTTCATAGGAACCAAAGCTAAAATATCTGAGTTACCAGCTCCACCCACCTTCAACATCCCTAGCATTCTAAAAAGTGTAAGACTTCAGCATCCACATATTAAGAATTGGGTTAGCCCTTTAAGAATGCACATTGCGTATTGTCATCAAAACAAGTCTATGTGCACCCACAGACCTGTCATGCTGTAATATACCAACAGTCCCAATGTTGCTGGAACGAAGAGGTCTGAGCAGCAGAACAGTTTGACTGCTGCTGGTATTAAAGAGGCAATTTCCACCTCAATGGAAGAACTGACACCAAAGCATTCATATGAGGAAAAGGCAAAACTCACTGGGGAGAGGTCCAATTATAGAAAAGTGTAAAGGCAACAGGAGGATGGTGTGTGAGGAGGCTAGACACAAGGATTAGGAACAGATGAGACATATGCCCGATGATCCATAAGGTTATACGGAGCCAGACCACACTAGAAAATAAGTCCACTCTTGTTGCAACACCGAGCTGAAGATATCACGTAGAAGGCACATTGGTGTTATCCAGCCCATTGAAAACATCAATTGAATTATTTTTTGCTTTTGGTTGTAGCGAGACCGAGCAATCACACTATAAAACCCAGCAGCAATGGTCCTGTTTCACTAGGAGGCAGATCATGGTCTGGGCTGGCGTTATGGAGGCAGTGTTACGTTCAGCCCACGGTGTGGACATTCTCAATAAGACCCTCAGACCACAGAGAGATAGCCAGGTTCTCCTTGTCACGGTCACCCTCCAGAGGAAGGTCTTTAACATGCAGAAGCTTGTTCTCCCAGATTGCTTTCAGTGCATCCATGTGAGACAAAGGGAAACGAAGACCGCTCACCTGCAAAAGAGAGATATGAAGCTACAAGTTACAATCATAAATACGTTCTGTATTTGAAAGACATGCTATAGATGACATAGTGTTCCCAAACACTTCACACTCAAGTCAATTTCTTCTTTCTACCACAGGACACTATTGCTTTAAAACGGTCACCCAAGATCTTCTGTTATTTATTATTATACAGGATTTATACACTGAGTGGCCAGATTATTATGACCACCCCATCAGTACTATGAGATGACTTCGTTGGGCCGCCTCGTGACTCCAGGAGATGTTGAAAGGTGATGCGAGGAATCTGACACTGCACTGTTGCCCTACTGTTGTCTTGTACCAGTCTTGCCACTCTCCGTTCTGCCCTAACATTGACTAGTCGCTGACGGCCGCAATTCGCACGTTCAGACCCAGATTTCCGGCTGACAGTCCAGTCTTTAAACACTTTAACAACAGCTGCTCTTGAACATTTAACGAATTCCGCTGTTTTGCTGATACTCGCTCCACGGCTCCGAGCGCCAACAATCATCCCACGTTCAAAGGCTGTTAAATCGCGTTGTTTACCCATATCTTCAGAAAAAAAATCACTTCTACTGTCGTGGTAAACAACCTGCTTCCCTATTTATAATGGTCTGGCCCTCTAGCAACTTCAGCGCCAAATTATAGCTAATTTGCCTACAAACATCAGGTGGTCATAATAATCTGGCCACTCAGTGTATAGTGCCAACAGTTTGCGCAGCGCTTTACAAAACTGAGGGAGACAATACAATTTCAGTACAGGAGTTAGGAGGGCCCTGCTCATGAGAGCTTACAATCTAGTAGGAGGGGCAAGTGATACAAAAGGTAATAACTGTTTGGGATGATTTAATGGAAGAACTGAAAGGCAGATTAGGCCTCCCCCCATGCCAATATTTCTGTATTCAGTAGTATACAGTATGCTGCTCCCAACCCCTGATTCTTATGGAAGATGGGAGCTAAACGGCAGTAGTGAATCATACTATGTTCAACAGACTGCACAAATCTAACAGAGGAAAATTCAAACCCTGGTAAGGTTAAGAGTTCCCTCCTTGGACATGTTTCCATCAGCCACACGGCTGGCCAATGTTCGGCCTAGTGGTTCAATGTTCGGGGCATTTTCACCTGGCCCTCCTTTCCCCTTCTCCAATCACAGAACACCTTGTATTCTATGAAAAGTACACAAAGGCTTCTTTTGAACAGAAGAGGGAAGAGGACATGGTGGATATGTGACTGAAGCCATTATAAAGTAAAGTGAAGCATTTAAGACACAATACATCCTTACCACAAGATGCTGCCAGTTTTCTGAGATGAATGATGTTCAGTGTCATGCAACCCACATCTTGTGAGCCCATGCAGTCATGGACAGAGCTGCACTCCAAAAATGTGCCAAACTGCTACGTACAGTAATGTGTAAAAATAGGTACACCCTTGAAATCTGATGTTTGCATGTTCAAATATGTGGAAAAAGGTCAATTCCAATGGGGTGAACTTAAATTTTTCACATGACTCTATCCAAATTATTTTAAAATGTAAATAGCTGTAGCAGGTATATATGAAGTAGCCACAAGGGAATGAATGGAATTTCTATTGAAAAAGGTTTTAGTGCAGTAAAATGTATGCGATGTGCTGCAGGAAAAACAGACAAGTGTGAACGCGCCCTAAATCAGGAATAAAGAGAGACTGTCAACACATACCACAGACAAGGCACATGAAATCTAATAAATATGGCAAAGGAGCTCTTATGTTGCTGCCTTTCTTGTGACAATATGTGCCCCCAGTGTCCTTGCTACTTAAAAGGAGAACTATGGAGTTAAGGCTTTTCCCCATAGTTCTCCTTAGGGTAACGGGAGGACACAAACTATCGTCCTCCCGTCACCCTAGGCTCAGTATACCGCAAGCTGTAGCTCGCGGTATACTGAGACGCCGCAGCTGAAGCGGATCCCGACAATTATGTCTGGATCCGCCCAGCTGCGTGACTGACAGCTGGCTCTGCCTATCTAGAGGCAGAGCCAGCTGTACCCGCCCCCTCCCCCGTCCATTCCGCCCGTCAGCGTATCGGAGGGGGGAATCCAGCCCCTCCCCTGTCACGGCAGAGAGCCGTGACAGGATCGAGAGGTGAGCGAACGCCGGTATGTGTTCGCTCACCTCCCGATCTACTGAGCCGACCTGTGACAGTCTCATTGTCACAGGTCGGCTAGAACTATGAGGTGAGTGAAAAGCACTCACCTCATAGTTCTCCTTTAACGCAGCTTTCCCACTTCCCAATTCAAATTCAGAGGCTTCTACTTCCTGACTGATTTCACCAAACTTCTCTACTGCTGCCAGTGTAGCCTTCCATCTCAAATGGCAGAGCCAAGGCTGTTTTCTGTACACACAGCAACAGGAAGTAATCCCAGGGCACAGCAAAGCCACATACACTTGCACTTTGGAAACTATACCTGGGTGACTACTCCAAGAGCTCACAGCACCCAAAAAAAGAAAAACAGTAAACTACAATTTACTGTCCTCAATGCTACCTCCTCAGCCAAACTACATTTTAGACCAAGGGTGGGCAAACTCCAATCCTCTAGCTGTGGTGGAACTAGAAATTCTATGATGCATTGCAAGAGTCTCACATCCACAGGCATGACTCCCAGAGACAGGTGAATTATGGGATTTGTAGTTTCAGCACAGCTGGAGGGCTGGCGTTTGCCCACCCCTGCTTTACACAGTTTATAAGTGACAGCTAATGCCATACTTTTATAAGATCAGTAGACAATCCGCTATGAATAGAGTTATCTCTCTCTCCCCCCAAAAAAACAAACTTTTAACAGCTGTTCTATAGTTTCTGAAAGCTGATTTTTCTTAACACCATCTGTAGTAAAATATACCACTCTACAATGCCAGCTTATTGGCCCCTTAGATGTTATAATATGCATGTGATACCCCATTAGTAGTAACAAAAACTCAGCAGTACAAAGCAGCAGTGATTTTCTATAGCCTAAGAAAGGCCTTGTTACAGAACCGGCTGGATACCAATAAGTGTCACATAGGATAAAACAGGTCTGTCCGCTCCACCTTGTGTGCTGGCTTCATGGCCGCGGAATGAAAATTGCATGGTAACAGGAAACAGCACCGACAGTGCAACAGTGCCACCTGCAGGCCGTTCCCATCACTGCCACATGTACTTTACCACCATACAGAGCACACAGAACCTGGTTTTCTTTTAAAGACAGGAGAGGAAGCTCAACTCATAAAACAAGGATATTTCCCCCATGGGAGAGATATTTTTCTTACTTTTACTTGCACTTAGGGAATTCTGCAAACATATATTTGCTGACTACCATAAAACAATAAGAACAGGAGGAAGTATGTTTTATTTGTGCTGACGGCATTTTAAAGCTGGCGTACCCACACACACAACTTTGTGGGAGGGGGAAAAAAAAAGCCAACACTATTGCTACTCACTATCCTGTCATATGGCCATGTATACCTGTATTAGTTAAAGTCACAATTCCCCCTACCCCCCATGCTGCTATAAGGACTTAGCTTAAATGATGCCCCTTGATCCGATCATCTTCCTTCCACTTGTTTCCAGCAGTCCCTCCAGCGCTGGTACCAGTCTGCGATCCACTGCAGACTCCTGTCACTTCCTGTCCTACTGTGTCTGTCCAACGTGCACGCTCCCGGCTGCGTGCACTGACTTACAGTGAGTCTCTCCTCCTCTCCCCACCGGTAATCGTTACTACGCATTCGCCCGCTCTCATCCTCCTGCACGGTCGTTTGGGGAAGCTGATTTCTACAGCCGGGAGCGAGCGGCGGAGACAGAGGTAAGTTTTTACCTGTTTGGTAACTTTTTTATTTTTAGAATTGTTTTTGCATATATCTACTGTTTGCTAGCATTAGATATATGTAAAAAAAATAAGACTGATGAATTTGATGAACTTTGGACACAAAAACTTTTATTAAAGGATAGGATTCTACTTTGTGTGCACCAAATGCCTTTGTAAACTCAGATATTACCTTGTGAATGTAACAGTGACATCATCACCGATATCAGAAAGCAGAGCTGTGAGAGGGACAACGCAGACCCGCCCACTACAGGCTTTCAGTAAACTACAATAGGGGGTGTAGACCAGACCAGTACTTATAAAGAGCAGCAGTGACTGGTCTTCGTTACAGGAGGCGCCTACACAGAGGCAACATGTCACACTAAAAAATATTGCACAGATCTGGAAGAAATACACAAAGCGCACCAAGATTAAAGTCAGAATACACGTGCCTCTTGTATTTAGTCAATGTTTGATCCACCTGGAGTTCAGCTTTTAAGAACAACCATAGGAAGTATACAGTTTACCTTATGAGGAGTGTAGAAGATTCAGGAAATACTTTCAGGCAGTGTATGACCTGAAATCTCAATTTTCAGTTTCCACACACCAGCAGATAGTTGCATTGTACTCCCAGCGGGAGTGTCGGCTGTGTAAGCTGGGGATATGATCTCGTTGTACCCCTTTAGAACAATTGCCAACTACTTACTGGAGGGCTTTCTTCAGTGTCCGAGACCATATGAGATTCCCTGTTGTTGTTCAAGGCATGGAAGACATAGATCACCAATTCTTCTGTGGGATCCTAGAACAAAACAGTTCCATTATTAAATGTATGAAATCTAGAAGTCATTTCTGCACAAAGCCGCTGTAACCAAAGTTCACCTATGATGTCATCTCTGGAGTAAGCGGAAATCTGTTTTCTATAGGTTACTGCACATCGCGATAGGAAAACGCAATGTCAGATGGCTGCATGTGTCACACCAGTATTCTATGGATGTGGATTCATTGTATGTCAATCTGTCTCTATGCCTCCAAGTACATTTAGAATGATGCACCTTCCTAATATAATATACAACATTTATATCATTCTGCAATGTAAAGCAAAACTTTGGGCAAATCAAATCTTAACCCTTGCAGTTGTGAAATAACAAAGTTATACCCACCCGAACCACAATCCTGGCTGGCTCCCCAACGTTCCCTCCTCCGCTCCAGCAATGGAATATCCCTCGGCATCCTCGTGTCCTATGCACTGCACAGAACGTGATGACTTGCTGGACCTTAGACCGCTGGAGTGGAGGGTCAGCGAGGATGAAGAGACCAGTCTAAGAGCAGGCTGGGATTGTGGTTTGAGTTGAGTATAACATTGTTACTTTAGCCCCCCAAACAAAATAAGCCCCTAACCCTTGCAGTGTGGGGGTAGCCCCATCAAGGGTTAAGATTTGCTTTGCCTGGAGTTCTGCTGTAACCATGAGTTTTATATGGTCTTACTGAATACTGCTAGCCATACATGCTTAATTTGTTCTCATTCACACTAGTCGATTTCCCCATGCACACTAAACAGGGTGGATGGAGAAATCTCCCCAGCGGATTATTGTATTCAGACAGCCGGAACTCCCAGATGTCTGAATACCCAAACAGTGACAGCATCTGACTATATGCAATAGCTGTTCGGCCAACAATTTTCCATTCAGCTCCTTGGACATTTCAATCGAAATTTGTCAAGTTGACTGGTGAACATGGCCACCTATAGCGCGAAATTTAGATGATATAGCAGGTATTGGCCACATAGGGCTACCTTAAAGCAGAACTCCGGGCACAAATGTTATTAACTCTTGCAGTGGTGTTCCCCCTGCACTGCAAGGGTTAACTGCTTGGTTTTGTCTAGGTTAAAAAAAAAAAAGTTAAACTCCCCTGATCCTTGGAGATGGGTGTCACAGTGCTCCTTCTGACCTGTCTCCTCTGCTTCAGCAATGGTATGTCCCTCAGTGTCCTCATGTCCTTTACAAAGTGTATAGAACGTGATGACTCAGGGACCTAAACTGCTGCAGCGAAGGGGGAGCAAGGTGGAAGGGTCCACTCTAAGAGCTGGCTGGCTCTGAGGATCAGATGACTATAACTTCACTTTTTAACCTAGACAAAATGATCCGCTGTCCCTTGCAGTGCAGGGGTAGCTCCACACCATGGGTGTAAAAAATATTTGTGTCCGGAGTTCTGCTTTAAGTACTACAATTTCAGCCTTTGGTCGGGTAACGGACCTTCTGCAAAAAACAAAGTGTATAGAAGGGCACAATCTGTCTTTTCATCAAATTGGTTCTGTACAGTGCATGTCTTTAGCTTTCAGTGATTTCTATGTTAGAGATCTAGGTACCATGCTTAGAAGACATCTTTATCATGGAGAAATGTCCGGCACAGCTACAAACGTGACAACAGAACAATCCCAATAAAACTGAACTCACCGGGGGGCGTGGTCTGGCCGCGATATACAATGGGCGCTTAATACCAGAGCTCCACAGCAGGATCGTACAAATCAGCTACTTATAGCATATCTATCGCCGTACGGCTCCTACGATCCGCCCGACTAGCCTCCTCTACACCTCTCCAATATGTCTAAAAAGAATAAAGGACCCAAGAAACTCACGGATTACTACACGCGGCCTGGACCGAGAGATGGACAAGATGGCGCAGTCGGCGCACGCGACTCAGCTTCTAAGTACGTCAGATCTGACTCAGAGATGGAGGCGGGCAGTAGTGAGAGAGTGTTCCAGCCCCCAGAACAGGCTAAAAGACCTGCCAGCTCTCCCCTCAGCTCCCCACAGACAAAAGAGCATGTTATTAAAAAAAAAAAATCTTTTACCTCAAAGCCCTCTAATACTGATGTTAGATCCCATGCACTTCCATTGCAAGATTTACCAGCCTCAGACAACCCAGCATCTGAGGCATGTATTAAACAAATGCTGTTGTTGCTACATTCTGAGCTACAGCAGGATCTCACATCTTCTATCAATGGGCTACAAACTCAAATATCAGATTTGGGCACACGCACAAATCGAGCTGAAGTGCTCATTACTGATTATGCGGGTGCTTATAATGACCTGGTGGATGCCCACAATGACCAGAGTCTATTCAGAAATTACAAGCTAAAGTCACAGATCTGGAAGACAGATCTAGACGGAATAATGTCAAATTTAGGGGGATTCCTGAGGCGGTAGGACCGATGGAACTCTCTGAATATCTCAACAACCTCGTCCAAAAGCTATTGCCAAATAGTTCAGGCTCTGATTTACTTATTGATAGGGCACACAGACTGCACAAACCTAACCATCTTCCTGCATCTGTACCCAGAGATGTGCTCGCCCGCTTTCACTTCTTTCACACCAAAGACAAACTTATGTTGGCCTCTAAGCAATCTCCTACGCTATCAGAACCCTACTCCCACATTTCACTATACGCGGATATCTCGGCTGCTTCAGCTCAGCAACGCAAGGAATTTGCCTCTGTCACCAAGGCTCTTCGTGATAACCGGATCTCATACAAGTGGGGCTTTCCGACGAAATTGCTGGCCTCCCATGAAAACAAGGTGATTCCGATCCTCACTCCAGCAGATGGTGTCCGGGTCAAGTCATGTGGCATCCCTATCTCTGTAATCTCGTCCACGCTTTCATCACCGCGTAAAGTCCTTATGGACTGGTCCTCCCACTGACATCTGGTCCCTCCTCAATCCAAGAAATCCAAGATGAGTTGTCTACTCTTATGAAGCGATGCTTAATATAGATTGATATGATCCTGCTGTGACTGCTTTCTGAAAGTGTTACTTACCCCCGGTTAAAGTGTGCTATGCACACGACAAGTTGGTTTGATGTTATTTTTAGTTTTTTACTTATTTTTGTTTCTTTACAATGTTCGTTAAATACTGTCTGGCCTCTGTATCAGCTTTGTTTTGTATTACAGCTCATACCGCCTGACGACACAGTTTTAGGGCTGACCATATGTTTATTTCTTGTAAATGTTCTTCTTAGGTTATGCTTCAAATGGTACCAATGTTTTATTCTCTTTACTTACAGTATACCCCTACAATTGTAATTCCCAATGTCATTGAAAATCACATCGCTTAACGCTAAAGGGCTTAATAAAAGTGCTATGCTCTGGAGAGAAGCTGCCTCCTTGAGCAGTGATATCCTATGTGTTCAGGAGACCCCCTTTTGTAGTGATAAACCTCCTATGTGTAAAGATAGGAGGTATCCGCACTCCTTTTTTGCGCATTCTTCCAAAAAAATAAAGGAGTCATGATTAAAATTAAAAATACAGTGGCTTTCGCTCAACATGACATCCTCTTGGATTCTGATGGAAGGTTTATTATCTTAGTGGCATCTATTAATCAATGTCTATTCACTATAGCTAATATATACGCACCAAATACTAACCAAATAAAGTTTCTCACTGCAGTAATCAACAAACTTAACTCTATGCGCAAGGGCCACCTTATTATATGTGGAGACTTTAACGAAATAGTTGATCCAACCCTTGATTCCTCCAACAAAAACAGAAAAGGCAATAGCACCCTCCTTTCTCTCCTACATACTAACGACTTGTATGATGCCTGGAGATGCTTGCATGGTAATGAAAGGGATTATACCTACTTTTCGCATACCCAAAATTCCTACTCCAGACTGGACATGTTCCTAGTGGACAAATTTACTCTGCAGCACGTTTCTAAGGCAGATATTGGTTTGATTACCTGGTCGGATCATGCCCCTACCTCACTCTCTCTATTTCCAGACACCTCCCCTTGTATCCCTCTCACATGGAGATTCAACCCAGTTTACACTCCAATCCTGAACATAGGGAATATATCCAGCCTGAAATAAATGGCTTCTTTGAAATCAATACCTCTACCGCTAGTAACCACACCATAGTATGGAATACACATAAAGCCTTTCTTAGAGGCCTGCTTATTAAATTGGGGGCAAGTGAAAATCGGTGACGTAATAGTGAATTAAAATCCCTGCTGGACCAAATTGGTAAATTAGAAGTGATAAATAAAACAGCCCCTGATCCATCCCACTCCACTGCATTAACCTCTTTGAGACACAAACTTAGCCTCCTTCTTACCTCTCAATATGATTTCATGATCAAATGGCTCAATCTAAAATACTATACTATATACTATATTTGATGGACTAATGTCTTTATTCAACCTCAAATACTATGTAACTATGTATTCCCAAGGTAATAAACCTGGAGCATTCATAGCCAGACAATTTAAAATTCGTCAAGACAACATGAGAATCCAATACATTCTAGATTGTAATGGGAGGAGACTTTCTAACCCCTTGGATATAGCTAATCAATTTAGCAAGTACTACTCCTCATTATATAACCTGAAAGAGTCCCCATCTTCTCCTTTGCCATCCAACGCGGAGATCCATGGTTTTCTAGACTCCTTGCCACCGCCCTCTGTCTCAACAGATTACCTAAAAGAACTGCAATCACCGTTCTCTGAAACTGAAATCCTACATGCTATTGCAAACCTACCAATGCATAAAACCCCAGGCCCTGATGGTTATGGTGCAGAATACTATAAGACATTCTCCTCCATATTAGCACCTCATTTATGTCTTGTTGCCAATGAAGCTGCAATCTCGGGATCTTTTCCTAAGGAATCTCTTGAGGCCACCATTGTTACTATCCCTAAGCCTAATAAACCGACTGATGAGCCTGTAAACTTCAGACCTATGTCACTACTCAATACTGATGTGAAAATATATGCTAAACATATAGCTACTCGTCTCCTTCACATCCTCCCTGACTTGATACACCCAAATCGGTTGGTTTGTGTGCGGCAGACAAGCTCCTGATGGTACAAGACGATTCCTTGACTTATTACAATATGCAGAGCGTTCTGGAAGGCCTTCACTGCTTCTTTCTTTAGACGCAGAGAAGGCCTTCGACAGAGTACATTGGGGATATCTAAGGGCTGTCCTAAGCAAATTCGGTCTCACGGGCTTTATAGGTTCTGCAATTTCTGCCTTATACACACAACCCAATGCAAGAGTGCGCACTTCAGGATTGCTATCTACCCCTTTTTGCATAACCAATGGCACCCGACAGGGATGCCCTTTATCCCCTTTGATTTTTGCCTTAGTAATGGAGCCTTTGGCAACTACTATTCGTGCTTCTACAGATATAGAGGGTATTTCTGTAGGTCCGCACTCATAAAATTGGCTTATATGCCGATGATGTTATAATCCCCCTCACTAATCCGCTACATTCCTTACCGGCACTACAAGATATCTTAACTCGATTTAGCAACATCTCATTCTATAAGGTCAACCACTCTAAATCCCACATGCTAGCCATTAATGTGCCACCAGCCACCAAACTCAATATTGATTCTATTTCCCCGTTCTCATGGGCACCTTCTGCTGCTCTTAGATACTTAGGAATCACTCTGACGTCCCCCAGCTGTAATATCTTCAAACTTAACTATACCACGCACCTGACTTTATCTGCTCTAGTCTCAATAAATCCACTGTATCATGGGCAGGTAGGATTAATCTCCTCAAAATGTATGTTCTCCCTTATATCTTATTAGAGCCCTTCCCATTCCCTTATTGCCGGCATACTTGAAAAAACTTCAGAGGCTCTTAGACACCTTCATATGGAAGGGTAAATCCCATAGAATATCTAAACTTGGATTGTATAGACCTAAGGCTTATGCTGGTATGGGAGCACCATAGGTCGCTCTATACTATAAAGCTTCAATTTTGGATCAAGCAAAATACTGGTGGGCCCTACACCCTGATAAGTTTTGGTCGCAGATAGAATGTACATTTCTGGCCAAAGATCTCAAGATAATGCTGTGCTCCTCTATGCTTAACCGCCCCCCTGATAAATCCTTTCTAGACACTGTAACAGGAACCCTCAGAGTTTGGCATTTTTTGGCAACCAAATCACTCACAAAACATAGATATATGTTTCAATATATACCCCTTCAAACACTTGAATTGCTCCTTACCGACATGCCGCTTTCTAATTGGGTACATCTGGGTATCACGCATCTAGACAAATTGTTCTCTAATGACCGCTTGATCTCTTTTCAGGTCTTATGTGACAAATTTTCCCTACCAATTCACAATTTTTATAAATACCTTAGAATTAGACATTGTATGGCTTCTCTAAGTATTAAGGACATTACACTAGTAAGAAGAATCATTGCTTTTTATAGTAAATGCTCTACCACTAGTAAGGGTATTTCCTTTTTCTACAAGCTGTTAACAGAACCAAATGAGTCTGAGAAGTTACAGTCCATGCTCTGGTGGGAAAAGGAACTGCACTTCTCCGTTTCGCTAGACTGTTGGTATGCGGTTATCTCCCAAACCTTAAAAACATCTAAATGTCTAAGCAACTGGGAGTCGGTACAAAAAATACTCCACAAATGGTACTTTACACCCCAGAGGTTAGCGAGAGCTTTCCCGTCTTCCTCTCCGCTCTGTTGGAGGGGTTGCGGCTCGGTGGGATCACTATCTCACATCTGGTGGTCATGTACCTTGCTCCAGTCTTTCTGGGATGCTATCTCCACCCTCTTATCTGTACTGACCCAGGTCCCATGTTTTCTGTCACCACAACTAGCTTTATTGGGGATTGGCTTGGACGAATGGCCCAAAACATCTCGTACGGTGGTATCCCACATCCTCATAGCTGCCCGACTTGCCATAGCAAGAGCAGGGAAACAGTCGGAACCCCCATCTCTGCGAAATGTCATACAAGTACTAAATACACACGCCCACTTCGAATTACTCTTTGCAAAAGCCAACCTTAAGGCTGGGTTCACACCTAGGCGTATCGAATATGCGCATTTGTTGCGCGTTTCTACCGCGATTCGCAGTAAAAAAAACGTGCGACAAACGCACATTTCCGAGGGCTACCTGGCTGTATCCCAATGGATAAATACACCCCAAAGAAGCTCCTGTACTTCTTTGGGCGTAGGGCGTTTTGCAGCGCGTCCCTACGCACTGTAAAACGCCCAGGTGGGAACCATGCCCATAGGCAATCCTTGGTTTTCACATGTTGAGCGTTTTACAGAGCGTAGGAACGTGCTGTAAAACGCCCAGGTGTGAACCAGGCCTTAGACTCAACTCTTCCCCTCCCAATGGGCTTGCTGGTTGTCAGACTCCAGATGCTTTATTAGCACTACGTGATTGAGTTATGGTAGTTTCCTTTATTATAACATTTATGTATTTCATACATTCTTGTGTACACGTATTTGATGTTTAGTCTCCTCCATTGGACACCCTTCCTCGGATTGGGACAAATATTAATTGGACTAATTTCTCCACATTACTCCATACATTCTCTCAGTGGTCACATTTATATAGGGTTAATTGAATATATGTAGCCACGGTTACCTTACTTTGTTTCGCCACTATGTCTCTTAATGGTATCATACACTCATGTGTTTATGTAAGTATTGGAATAGGTGATGGATGTGTTGCTTTTTGTACCCTTCGTACTACAATTTACGCCACATGAATGCTGTTCCCCCCCCCCTAATTGTATATGTTTTATATGTAAAAACCTAAAAAAACTTGTTAACAAAAAAAAAAAAAAAAACTGTACTCACCAGCATCTTTGGCACGTGATCTACTGTGATGGCAGCATAATCCGGATACTTCAATCTGATCGTGCTCTTTAGGTTTGGAGGATGGACTACACAAAAAAGACAAATATATACCAATGAAAATATATATCAGATGCAGACCGGCAAATGTCAACACTTAAAAGGCATTTGGTCTTTAGCATTAGAGCCGGCACTGGATGCAGAGCAGAGACCGCAGTCCACATTCATCCTAGAGGTGCATTGTCTAGCAGCACTTCACTGAGCACTTGTGTCGATTGCGATAATCACCATCCTTGATACACTGCGCTGGATGAATTACTCTCCAGAATCCATGACAGTGTCACATGTTTCCATGAAGGATAAATGGAAAAGGAGACCCTCTCCCACCCACTTCACCATTCTAAACAAATGTGATCATCATATTACAGATTCAGATAATTGATCTTCTCTTGGAACAGCCTACCTATATCTGGACAGCGATTGCATTTCCCGTTAAAGTGATATTAAAGCCAAATTTTTTTTTCTTTATTTCTCCTTTGAGGAGACCCTCCTTTGCTGGAGGATGTAGCGTTTTTTCTTTAAAAGTACTTATTTTCTAGTGTGTCCCCGCCATGCTCTTCCCCCCGCCCCCTGCACGGGTGCCACCATCGTTCTAATACAGTCACCTGTGCGCGCTCGTGCCCGCACAGGCTGTGTGCGTCCACTTCGGGGTACGGAGGATCGCTTCGGGACCGGCGGCGGGGACGAGCGCAGCTGACAGGTAAGTGTGGGGGGGACTGGGGTAAAAAAAAAACATGCTTGGCTGTTTTTACCCTAATGCAGAGAATGCATTAAGGTAAAAAACGCCCAGACCTTAATACTACTTTAAACCCGTATTCCTCTCAACATGTCTGTGCTGGACCTGACCATAGAGAACGGGCAGCCAGTACCGAGATAGCAGCATACTTGCTTGCCAGCCATTATTCTCTATGGCTGAGGCTGGCACATGTGTGTCGGCTAGAATGTGCGCTGTAGGAAGACTGCAGGATGAAAACAGGCAAAGGGCAGATCAGGATTGTCTGCATTAGAGGTCTGTATCTTAGCTTACAGTTTCCATCAGAAGGGTGAGAAAATGGGACAAGTGTTTTTACTTGTTAGGCCTCATTCACACTGCTAAGAGCCGGCCCGTACAGATCCGTGCGTCGTGCATGTCCGTATCGGGCCGTTCCCGGGAAGGACAGGTGCTGCATGTGTGATTGTACACAGCAGCCTGTTCTTCTCTATGGGAGTACGTGGCTGTACGCTGACCCGAACTGCACATCCGTACGGGTGTGTGTGTCCATGCTTGGATGCAGACAGGATCCATCCTGTCAGAGTACGAGTACGGACACTCGCACTGATGTGCAGCTCGGGTGAGCGTACGGCCGCCTACTCCCACAGAGAAGAATAGGCTGCTGCATGCAATCACACCATCATTTTAGCACATAGACACAAACCAGCAGTTAACCTTTGCAATGTGTGGGGTAGCCCCACTGCAAGGGTTAATCATTTTTTTACCCCAGAGTTTATCTTTAACATTAAAGATTTACTGGTTCTTACCACCAGTCACATTAATGTGCTCAAAGTGTATTTCCACTATTGTATTTCCCTGCATTGTGGAGGACTGCAACACAAGTGTGTTAGAACTGCATTGCCATTCTAGGTTGGGGTGCCATTCACACTTAAAAAAACAACTCTGGTAAATTACAAATTAATCCTTGAAGTGGGGATACCCCCACACTGCAAGGGTTTAGTGCTCATTTCGAGCTAAGGCCTAAAATAATAGGCTCCCTCAGCCCCCCTCCAGCGGTGGAATGTCCCCAGGCGTCCTCATATCTAATAAACCGTATTAAACATGATGACTCACGGGACATTAGACTGCCGGAGTGGAGGGGGGAAAAAGGCTTTGGAGACTGGTCTAGCAGCCAGGCAGGTCCGAGGATCAGATGAGTATATATTATGTTAGATCCTAGACCAAAACAGGCACTTTAATTTGCCATTTACCCGGAGATCTTCTTTAAGGGCTGAATCACACTCTCGTTGCACTGTGTGCCTTAGCGTGGTGTCATGACATTTATTTTGTATTTCAGTGGACCACAACACACAGTAATTGGCTGCCTTTGTGCAACACACATTAACGCAGGATGGAACACACAAGACTAGTATTCTATCAGCACAGCAGTACTTTTTTTTCAGTGCCGCATGGTGCAATTCAACACAACCACATTGCTCTGCACTGTGCCTAAACAGTACAACGCCCCAGGATCAGAGCATCAGCACTGAGTTGATGCGCTGTGGGCTCAGGGCGGTTTTCTGGTGTGAAAAGACCCTAAAAGGTCAGGTCTAAAAGCGGGGGGGAGGGGGGTTAAGGTAAACAACCGGCACTTTGTGGTTTCTGCCCCTATACAGGGCTGTGTTTTTAATTGTTGCTATGGCTAACAGGTTTACGTGAAATCACATCAGGTAATATGTTTCTAGTAATGCAACTATTTCTCAAAGTAAAACTGTAACAACAAAATAGAAAGGAAGATGCTGTAAACATCCCACCTGATTTCTCTGCGTTTGCTTCCACAAAGGGTGGCAGTCTATGTCCCATGAAGTCCCGCAGCATTTCACATGTACGCAGCTGACATCCTCCATCTATACGATTAGCCAAGTCCTTTAAGAGACCAGCCAATGTGCTGCCTGCACTAGTAGGACCTACACGCTAAACACAGACAAACAATATGCTGAACAAGGGTCACATACAAATTATATGCAAGAATTAACAAATAACAGAGATTTACACACAATTAAAAGGGGTTTCCAATTTTGAAGTTAAATTCAGGAGAAACAAAGATAAACCTCACCTCTTGAATCTGGCAACAATGGGATATGGATAGATTATATGTTATAGACTCACAACTGACTTTAGCCGGGATGCAATGTTCCCAAGACACAATGCAAGACTGAATTTACCACCTAATGAGCCAAGTACCTGAATGACTCCGTCCTGCCAACCTGTTCCAGGTCTGGCTCACTTGGTAATGAAGAAATGGGCAGGGTGACGGCCCTAAATTTGATGCCAAAAGAAAATGCCTGCTGTGGCCGCTCCAATGTCTATCCTCACAGATACCCTTTATCCTACAGCTGACTCTGGCTAGAGGCTTCTGTGTGCAGTGACAGAAGAGTCCACTGCAGCCTCCTTTGCTGGGAGAGCGAATTATGATCTCATGCCACCTGAATGTCTGCTGCAGAGTGAAGGCCCATTCTATGGCTTTATTATTACTATTATTATACAGGATTTATATAGTGCCAACAATTTGCACAGCGCTTTACAATATAAGGAAGACATTACAATCACAATAAAAAATCAAGACAAGATGGTAAGGAGGGCCCTACCCATGAGAGCTTACAATCTAAAAAGAGAGGCGAGTGATAAATAAGGTGGTAGCCGTGTGGGGACGAACTGTTTGAGAAAGGGATAGTTCAGTGGTTAGATTGAGGCGGGAAGAGATGAGTCTTCATGGATTGTCTAAAGGCAGACAGTATAAGAGATAGCTGGACAGGTTGGGGTAGAGAGTTCCAGAGGATGGGAGAGACTTTAGAGAAGTCCTGGAGGCGAGAATGGAAGGAGTTGATGAGGAAGATGAGAGCAGGAGTAGCGGAGAGGACGGTTAGGGTGATATTTTGAGACGAGGTTGGAGATTTAGCCGGGGGCAGAATATTGGACGGATTTGTAGGTGGTTGTTAATACTTTTAATTTTATCCTTTGGGTGATTGGAAGCCAGTGGAGGGATTGGTGGAGGGGGTTCTCCATTTATATACCAGGACAGGCTAAAGGTGCTCATACACTATGGAGAGCAATATTAATAATATCTGGGTACCAATAATTGTTGTAGAGGAATGCCTTTTCGCAGGTCCACATTTTCCTTCGCTGCATCACGTAGGAGTGCAGGCATCAGGTCCTGCAGATAGTCTGCCCAAGAGCTTCACACAAGACAAAGAGAAATACTGAGTTACAAATCAACAGAGAGAAATTATGGTTTTGCAGGATAACACAAAGAGATACATAGCACCTAATCAATAACAGAGAGCGGATAATGCTACCTGCAGCACAGAGTAATGTTTACAGCAGACTGTGTGCATTGTATATGTGCCAGAAGATTTCTTCTTTGAGAAATCAGCCCCATAATTAGTAATTAGGTAGCTGGGCACTGCCTAGGTAAGGTCCTATTAGATTACAATGCTCCCAGCCGCACATTGTTGCAGGAAACTACTTTGCGGATCGTATGGGTGTCAGGCTTGCACTGTGGCAATGGGCCTATAGGCAAACCGGAAGACACAGAGACTCAGAAATTAGGAAGATCATCATTCCAATATTATGAGGAAGGGCAGTATAACCCTCATGTCCTACGTAATAATTGCATGAACACGGCTTCATGTGTCTACAGATTTCTCATGAAAGTAAGACAAATCTGTGAAACATGACTATAGAACAGAGGGAACTAATAAACATTTTCAGATTTGATTATGGTGGGCCAAGTCCTACAACATCTAAAAAAAAAAGAGATATTATACAATGCACACATCAAGAAGATTATGATATCAGTATTTAAGTGCCACTATAAAATGTTAGGAGCCACCAAAATACAGTGGGCCGCCTTGGTGACCAGTATTACCCAGCCCAATTTTGAGGATATGTTTGTAAATGTGTCAGCAAACAGCCTGCTCCCAGGACACACTGGGAAGGAAATACTTACGTGTTCTGATAGGCGCTGATGGTCACATGAGTAGAATGTGAGGAACCTGCTGGGGTGTCAGCTTGATGAATCACTCCTCGGGGAAAATACAGCATGTCACCTTCCTAGGAGGAGAAAAAGCTTTACTGCAAACCCTTTATTTCAAAAAATTGTGTAAAGACCAACTTCAGTTATTCTGGGGGTATTCAGAAAGCTCATTACCTTTAATAAGAATTCATGAGTGGGCGTTGTGACCTTGTCCAGAGGGGCCACATCGTACTCTCTAGCCAGGGGAACGATGGGTTCATAGAGCCGCCAATGCTTCTCACCCTCCACCTGAAGGATAAAGACCTGGAAAGACAAACATGGCCACAATTAAACAGAAATCAGGCTGACTCTCATTTAGTAGCTTTATGCCATCACAGTTTTTCTTTTCTTCTTCCAACCTCTGCAAATGGAATCTTAGGCAGCCAACTAAGGAAGACTTGTCTAAAACTGATTAAGAATTGAACATGAGTCAGACTTTCACTTCAAACAGACTCACAATGGCGACAAAATCAAGGATGGGGGTTTCTCTGCCACTTTAGAGCAGCAGGGTGGGGGTATATGGTGTACTCCTGTGGTAGTGTGCCCTATTAAGGTCCATGGTATTTTTACGAAACACAAGGTGAAATAAGCCAGCAATGCTACTGACATAACTAGGTTCATCCTGGAAAGACAAAGGATGACCTGTATGCAGTACTTCAGCAAAGGCCTGGTGTAATGGTGCTAATCAATTGAAGGAGACCTGTAAGAAACTCAAGATGGCCAACAGACACCTCATCACAATGCAGCCAATTGATTCACCAAGTTCAGTGATTATCCAGCAGCACATGATCCCTATGTGCTGTGTTAGTCCCCATTCACACGTCGGTGTTTTGTTGCTCAAAGGTAAGTGCGAGCAATGGGATTCCTTGTCCTTGGGATTCCTTGTCTTGAGAATTTTGTTGTGCTTAGCTTTGAGCAATAAAGCACACAGGTGTAAACAGAGCCTTACAGTACCACCTAGTGTAAACTGGAAATATTACAATAAAACATTTTCCTGACCTTACCATTGGAATAGGTCCAGATGGGAGTCCCAGCACTGTATGTACCAGGCTAAAGCTTCAAGATGCTCTGAATATGCCAGCAGAGATGGGAAAAGTGACTACTCAGAAGTTACAGAGTGCTGAGATGCTTTCTCATGTCTCCCCTACACTTGATCACAGAACATAACACCAAGCATATGACAAGTGTCTATGCACTCCGTCCAAGACCCTGTAAATTCCTTGCACAGCTTCGCTGTTGATCATCTTCAGACAGCACCTCTCCCATCTCTGCTGTTGATCATCTTCAGACAGCACCTCTATCTCTGCTGTTGATCATCTTCAAGCAGCACCTCTCACATCTCTGCGCATGTCCCTCATCTCTGCTGTGGATCATCTTCAAGGAGCACCTCTCCTATCTCTGCTGTTGATCATCTTCAAGCAGCACCTCTCACATCTCTGCGCATGTCCCTCATCTCTGCTGTGGATCATCTTCAAGGAGCACCTCTCCTATCTCTGCTGTGGATCATCTTCAAGCAGCGCCTCTCCCATCTCTGCGCATGTCCCTCATCTCTGCTGTGGATCATCTTCAAGGAGCACCTCTCCTATCTCTGCTGTGGATCATCTTCAAGCAGCGCCTCTCCCATCTCTGCGCATGTCCCTCATCTCTGCTGTGGATCATCTTCAAGCAGCACCTCTCCCATCTCTGCTGTGGATCATTTTCAGACAGCACGTCTCCCATCTCTGCTGTGGATCATTTTCAGACAGCACGTCTCCTATCTCTGCTGTGGATCATCTTCAAGCAGCACCTGCCCCATCTCTGGTGTGCATCATCTCTTCAGAACGCATGTCTCCCATCTCTTCTGTGGATCTTGTTCAGAAAGCATGTCCCTCATCTCTGCTGTGGATCATCTTCAAGGAGCACCTCTCCTATCTCTGCTTTGAACCATCTTCAGACAGCACCCCTTACTATCTATGCTGCAAAGCATCTTTAGACAGCAACTCTCCCATTTCAAAGGTGGATCATGTTCAGGCAGCACCTCTCCCATCTGAGCAGAGGATATTTTTCAGGCAGCATCTCTCCAATCCCTGCTGGCATATGCTACATATCTAAGTTTTACTTTGGAGCAGTAGAGTTGATAAGAGGAAATAACTATCCAATACTGGAACTATTCACAGCTGTGCACACTTCTACTGCTGTTCCTACTCCTCTGGTAAACAAACTTTGCAGAAATACCAGCATTGTGTATTCGGACCCATGGTTCTCCACCTTCCCTGTCCTACTTCTGAAGGCTTCCACAAGTCTGACTGCTGCATCAGACAGAGGAAGACAAAGGACAATGTAATTTGGATATGCATCAAACCAGAAAAACTATGGTATACTAGTATATTATTTAAAAGGTCAGTCTCATCTATCCCACCTATATCATTACAGCCCTTATTTCAGCATTTCTAATAAGTGGCAAAAATGACTAAACAGTTAATCACATACAATACACTACATAAAACAGCTTACCTCTACATCATCATGGTGAGCCGGCAGGCCCTGAGAATCTGATGGTGTGATATACACATTACATCCAACTAATGTGCCAAAGAAACATTCAAGCTTCTCCATAATCTGCCACAGCTTGTCCTGTACAGAGAGAACAGTATTACAGCTCAGAAGAGGGAAAGCAATGTTATCTTGGGATTCACTAACCAAGCAACAATCAAGGTAAATATCCACATAGAACTTCAATAATAAAGTTTTTTTTAATGTAATTTTTAGGTCAACTATAAAGTTTGGAAGGCTTTTAACAAATACTTATCTTTGAAAATACACTGAGATTCTTACCTTGTATGAGCAACTGATCATTCTCCGTATTGTAACAAGAAGCTATACCCAATGGCATCCTCATAAATAAAGAAGGCTTTTATTCAAAGTTTAAACTCTCAGTGCAGCACAGGTAGGGGAAATCCTCCCCAGCAGCTCACAGACAGCAATAAAAACCTGTTTCAGTAAACCATACCCCAACCCCTTTATCAGGGTTAGAACAAAGAAAGCAGACGATGACTAGTTAGGTGTTTTAACACTGGGTGGGTATGCACAGCATCAGTCAGCAGCTGCTTCAAGTTGCAGGATACTGTGCTAACCCACCCAATGTTAAAACACCTAATTATTGCTTAACTTTTGAGTACTCTTACATTGTTTCTTGGTTTCTTCAAGCCCCAATGAAGAGTATAGCCCCTGAAACTTGTTGATGTTTGTAAACAACTTGTCTTTGGAATAATCTTGTATGTATGTATGTATGCATGTATGTATACACACACACACACACACACACACACACACACACACACACACACACACACACACACACATACATATATGCATTAATCTTAGACTTACTCATCCTTATCACACCCCAAGGTGATCATGGAAATCCTTTAGTGCGTAGAAGCTGCCCAATATCCAGATTCTCCATAGTCATACCACCATAATGCCATTGGATAACAATAATACAAAAATAAACTTTCTTAAGCAATAAAAACCCGACAAATATCTTTTCCTGCTTTTCTGGATAATGATTTGGATAGTCTTTGGCTTTCCATTAGACCAATAAGGGGCCAACTAAGAAAACTGGAGAACTGTGTCTGTGCTATCTCTAACCACAGGTTCTCTTCTTCTCACCTTCCGTTAAAACAGTTGGGATACCCCTTAGGAGAGGGAGCTGCCTCTTGTGACCAGGAATACTAACAACTGAAATCAGAATGCCTCCATTTATAGGAAGGTTGGGTAGATCTAAGGCCCCATTCCACGCAATATCGCTCTATGTATCTTCTCCAATCCATTTCAATGGAGCTGTTCACATCTCGTCGCTCAATATCGCTTGTAGCTCCTACATGACCCTTTTTTCAAGCGATTTTGCTCCTGATTGCATACAGCCCAATAGGAAAAAGTCGCTCAATATCGCAAGTCGCTCAATATCGCAAGTCGCTCAGTGTAAATGGGGCTTAAAGGGTCAGGACACCCAAAAGTAATCAGTAGTCAACACTTCTTATGTATCTTGGATTCTCATTACTTCCTCCTGTAATTCCTAAATCTGTTATTGGGCATCATTTAGTTTTGGCATCTCCACCTATCCTTGAAAATAAAGAAAGAAAACAGGAAGAATGGGGAAACCCTCATAATGGCCACAGCAGGTGTGCAGATCCAAGAACTCCAGTGCAGATATTTTATCAAAAGCGTTCCCGAGATAAATGAGAAGCATTCAGGGGATTTAATGCACCAGCAATTATTGTCAGTTTTGGGTAGATTCAACTTGTCATGATAACTACTACCTAGTGGTTGTTATTGGAGCAATGATCCATGGTCCGGTATAGTTCCTGGTCACAAGAGGCAGCTCCCTATCCTAAGGGGTATCCCAAGGATCCTCGAGGTCTGTCACTCTAAACTTTGCTCTAAGTGTCCAGTATTTGCTGCAACCATTGCCAGTTCAAGCCCTGAGGAACAGGAAATGGTGATCCCCCAATCGAATTAGCCCTTATCTAAGTTAGACTGATGACATATAACAATGCACAATCGGCCATAGTAGACTGTAACAACAATCTATGAACCGTTTTCTTACATTGTATCTTTGGGGTTGATGAAACTGTATTGTTGCCTTGGCATTTCGGAAGCTTTTCATGATCTCGTTGTAGCTAGCTTTCCCCCGCCTTGATAAGAGCACTTTCTTCCCGTCCTTACACTTGCACAAGTTCACATCTCTGCCATAGTAAATTCCTTGCCCGCTGGCATGTTTTAAGCCCTGCATTGGGAACAGGGACTGATAGTAAGTCTGCACATTGGGGTCACTCCTCTGGATTAACAATGGCTTCTTCTCCCAGTAAGTGCTGAAGAATTCATCTCTTGTCACTGGGGCAATAAAGCTTTCAAAGAGGCTTTGTGGTGTGCTGAAATCCAGAGGAGGCTTGGTTGATGAAGGCTGTATTTTGGTGGGTACTGCGGCATCATCTTCAGTGCCCGCTTGTCGTGCTCTGCGTGGCATTTTCTATTGAGAAGACACCAAATTACATATTTACACATATGATTACCAAAGCTTAAACTCACCCTTTTCACAATAAATCATTCGTCAGAACATTCAAACTTGTCACTGAAGCAACTAATTCAGTTTGAATTGACATTTTGATGTGCTGGCCCTCCATTGCACCGCTATACATTTAAGGGGGAGAGGGGTACCTCCAGGCATAGCTGCATTCAATTTGTCTTGTGCTTTATATGCTCCAAGATGGAGGCTCTCAAAGATTAAAGTTAGAACCGCACTACACAGAGGAGCCTTGACGAGGCAGTTTGGCTTTCATTGTTCGAATTTTGTAAATTCTACTAGTGTATGGCCAGCTTTACTCTACAGTAGAGCTGCAACAGTTAATCGATTTAGTCGATTAAAATCGACGATTGAAAACGTTGCCAACGTTTTCGATCGTCGATTCGTCGGCTATCGATTGATTTCCCTGTACATATTGCCCCTTTAGACTCTTAGCCGTGTCCCCCTGGCCCCCCCAAGTGATCTGAATACAAAACTTGTGGAGAAATCACTAATCTGATTAAAAAGAACAAAGATTCACAGAAAAAGTCTAACGCAGCTTCAGGAGAAACTGTGACACCCCCAGCTAGTCCTCGTTTAGATGGACCGCTGGGGGGCATTCAAATCAGGAGGTTAATCTGCGGGTGTACCACTCCCCAGCTGCCCGTCTGCAGTGTTAAGCTGCCCATATAGCTTGCGATCATCGGACAAAACTTTTCGTCTGATGATCGAACCATCGTACAATTTTCGTACGGCGGCCCCATCCTGCCTTGATCGTCGCAAGGTTCAATTAGCGGTAGTTTAAAAAAAAAAACACCTGGACAAATTGCGATAATCGACCGCACGTATTTTCGTTAGCGCATTAGCAGTGTTAATCATACAAAAGTTGACGTACGGAAACGCCACCAACCTTGCAAAAATCGTACGATCGACCGAAGTTTTCTAACCTACTGGAAAGTCAAAAGTCATACGATTGTACAGTATTTGCGGTTGTACACTGCCCATCAACCTTACGAATATCGGCCGAAAACGCGTTCGCATACGAAAATCGGCCGATAATCGTAAGGTGTATGGGCACCTTTAGCATTGCAGCTTGACAGTGCTTACGTTTGGCAGGTGGGTCGCCATAGAGGTGAGTAGGACTGCTCCACAACCATGTCTCAAACACTTGCATGTGGTTGTGGCACAGTAGTTCAATAAAAAGAAAAACCCCTTGGGATCCACAATATTAAAAAATAAATTAAAACGGTCTTTAAGATGTGGCATTATCACATAAACACCAGGCAGCCACTGCTCTACTGCCCTGTGAAATGTGATCCACTGCAGATCCACCCATCTTAATGAGGCCTTACCTTATTTATGATCTTAAAGTGGACCTTTACCCGTATCTCTATAATAACAAACACCTTAAAAATGTTTAGTAAGAACAATCTACTAACACATACTTCTAGATAATTGCCAGCTCTGTATTCTTTGCATACATTATTTCTCTTTTCTTCCCCAGTCTTCTGGCAGTGGCCATGTTTACTAAGGGCAGGTTACTAGCTCTCCTATTACTTCCTGGATTTCTGGCACATGTGACTAGGACATGTGACCATGCACATCCTCTCAGGGGAGGAAATGCCTTTCCCTGAGATTACAGATGAGATTTCCCAGCAATGCTCTGCTGATGACAAGGCAATCCCAGTGTGCAATGCTTTGCCAAACTGAAGTCATTTTGCCCTTTCAAAGCAAGAAGTGAATGCTCTGCCAGTGTAAGTATTTCACAATCACAGCCTTTTACACCTGACATGTCTATGTTATTATTAATCGTCATACATAGAGGGATGCATTAGTAGAATTTGATTTTTGAGGTCTGCTTTTGGGAAGGTTGTGCAACTCAAGCTCTCCAGCTGTGCTTTAACTACAAATCCAAACATGCCGCTGGGAGTCATGCCTGTAAGTGTCAGTCTTGCAATGCCTCATGGGACTTGTAGTTCTTCAACAGCTGGAGGGCCAGAGTTGCCCACCCCTGGGTTCAGGCTTTAGGGGTCAAAGGTGTCCAGCCCTCGCTCACAGCAGCTGGCTCTATACACTGGGTGCTGGTGTCCGACATGTAGGGGCGGAGCTTTGTATTGTAACAACATACGGCACTGTTAACCTTTTTTTTAAAAACGTTATTAAAACACTACAAATTTGACATTCCGTTCACTTCTATACACCACAGCAGAGATGAGGTGTGGTGACAATCGGGAGCATTAGGTGGTGTACAAAGGAAAATCACAGCAGGTCTGCACTGCAACCCACCTCAAGGCTGCCATGAGGAGTGACCAGGACACAGCGAGCACTAATGTATCCTGAGCACCCTGGTAGTAAACCTGTGTTCTTCTATGCAGAATAATGCAGCTCACCTGATGTGATGTGAATGAGCCCTGGAAATCATATCATGTCCTCCAATCACATACATCTCCATATAGAAAGATCCCCTCCCCTAATCCTGGACACTGTTATTTTTACTATACAGCCAAGTACACATGGCTACAGGTGGCATTGCAGCCATCAGATCAGACCATTCATGGGACAACATTGTCGATGAAGATCCACACTGCAGGTTGTAATTGCAGCACATAGAGCGAGCACAGGGAAAATTGTGATATGTTAATGTCGTGTAACATATGAGTGTGAGAGAGGTGACACACCGGACTGATCAGAGGAAGCAGAATGTGTGCAGTGAACCTCAGCTCCCATTGATCTCTATGCTCTTACCTCCTCCACCGGTGACCGGACCCCACCGGACTCCCAAATGATCGGTCTCACCGGTCCACACTGCCAGCACCACGTGGTTGCTCCGCTTCTCCCAGCATGCCTTTCTCCAATCACGCCGCTGTCACAGGAACTCGCCGTGTGCGCTGCCGGGGGAAGGGCGGCACCTAGTGGCAGCAGCGCTAACTGCATGCAATGACCAGCCTATGCTGTGTACACGAACACAGCACACAGTACCTGTACTTCCTAATCAAAGATATTTTTATCGAATTTACGAATAAATATGATAGATTATTATTATTATCATCATCACCTATGATTATTAATAATAATAAAATCACCATCACCTATGATGGTGATGATTATTATTATCGATGATGATGATTATTATTGTTGTTGTTGTTGTTCTCATCATCATCAACACCTATGATGATTATTATTATTGTCAATGATGATGATTGATATTATTATTATTATTATTATTATTATGATAATGATGATGCTATAGCACATATGACAACAATATAAGAACTCAAAGGGGACAGGAGGTGAGGGTGAAGGGAGCAGCGGTTACATACATTAGAAGTTCAGCGGCTTTAAACAGGAGAGCTGCTGATAGAGGAAATTTACCTATACAAAGTTGTGTTATATCATTTGCAAACAGTGTTCTAAACCAACATTTTTTTTGGAAGATCCCTTAAAATAATTTATGAGTAATGATATACTGTAATCATTTTCAGCCCTGCTAAAAGGATTAAATCTACAGCTAATGGTACATTATCCAGATCAGTATGTTGTAGAAATAATAAATGAATATGTAATGGTGTACCGTGTACATATCATTTCTAAAACCAGAGCAGATCAGTTTTTTAAACTCCCCCCACCCCCCTACCCCTTTCACTATACAACAACTTTCAGGAATAAACATGAATTGGGACACATAACAATAATAAAAGCAAAGATATACAATATATACAGTACATATTAATACCAGAAAAGATATGCAGGCAGTGAAAACTGTAGCGTCACTTCATAGTGGTTGGTGGGCAGCAGTAAAATGCCCCCTTGCATTAGTGGTCAATGGAGTGCCCCTTTACATTGGTGTTTAGTATAAAAGTGCACCTTTATTCAGGAAAGCATAGAAAAAATCTTCCAATTACATTGGTGGTCAGTAGGATAGTTGTCCCTGTACATTGGTGGTCAGCAGGAGACATACATTATTACAATAGTGGTCAGTAGAAGGTATGCCTTGTCATAGTGCTCACTGCCCAAGGGACCCCTTGCAACTTCCGGAGGAACCCCAGGGTTCCATAGAAATCTTCTTGGGAGTGTATAGAGAAGCTCTAGGTGTCATATATGCCACATTCCTTATTCTTATATTTATTCCTCATGCAAGTTACTGTTCACACCAATGTACATTGAGCTATAGAGATTGTAATTACTATTAGGGGTTCCCTGAGACCAGAATGTTATTTGAAGGGTTCCTTTGTGTTAAAAAGGTTGAGAAAAGCTGCTATAAAGTATGTACAAAATTTAATATAAGGTGTACTGTCCCTTCGACCCCAAGTCCATCATATAGGGCCATATAACAAAGATTCTTGAAGTTAAGTGAATCCCTGTGGTTAATCCAGCATGTTAAAGAGTAGAGGGCAGATTGTTTTGTATAAAGTGCTTCTACCACTAAACTCCCCTCCATACCCCATTCTTTTTAACAACAGTCTTGCAGTCCCATAAGGGATTGTAAGACTGAAAGCCACAAGAATGACTCCCAGAGGCAGAGACATGTTGGGATTTGTAGTTTTACCACAGCTGGATTGCTGAGGTTACCTCCCCCTGGCATAAGGTAAGGGGAGCAGTAATATCCTTCTGCTTTAGTCAAGTATCTAACCTCATAGAGGCAGGGCCCCTATACCCAGAGATCTGCCGTGTCCGCCAATAAACTACCATAGAATAATCCTTATGTTTGAGTGAAGATCAATCTGGCAGGGACAAAATCGGAAGGTCTTTATCAAACACTATTTTGGCTACAGAGATATCAGCCAGACCTTCCATATCTACAAGAAATAAGTGTTAAAATTCAGCGACTTAACAAGATACCTAAAAAGGGCAGTTTATGAAATTACTAAATACAGCTGTTTCATGCTTTTATCCCTTCCTATGCAACAGGAGATATTGTAGACTTGGAACTGATACCCAGAAAAATGTCTGTGTCAGCCACATCAAACTGGATGGCAGAATAGTACAGAAACAAGACAGGAAATGTCCATGTGCATCACAAGTAGACGGCTATTGTGAAGACATTCAGTGAGAAGCACCCTATAAAGGAACATGCTGAATACTTTCCTGTCCGACAGGGTGGGGGAGTGAAATATTTGCTCTCTTTAAGAGTTACAGAAGCTACTGCTCTCAGATTCTTTATTGTGTGTTGAATCAAATGTCCCTTCCTGGATGCTGTGATTCCTCCCACCGGCCATTACACGATTAATAGTGATACAACGTCCTTTGGGTGAAGTCACAGCACTGAGAAGGGGGCATTAAATCTGACACACCCGGAAGTGACATGAGCCGGAGGATTCAGTTAGAGCAGCGGGGGACCCAGGAGGTTGACACTCTGATAAGTGCTGGTCTCCAAGAAGACTTTGGGTGGGGGCATGTTTCATGAACGGAGTGATTGCTTTACATTGCGGGTGCCAGGAAAGGTAGTTATGTTACATAGTTAGTCAGGTTGATAAAAGACACAAGTCCATCGAGTTCAACCTATAGAGATAAGGGGGAAGAAAAGCCTAAACAGAACGCTATGCCCACAGTTACCCCCTGTTGATCCAGAGGAAGGCAAAAAAAAAGCATGGGTTCAATTTGCTCCAACAGGGGAAAAACATTCCTTCCTGATCCCATAAGGCAATCAGATATTCCCTAGATCAACAATCTCTGATGCTTAATATACACTATAAGAACTCAATATCCAGTAATATTCTGTGCATTTAGGAATACATCCAGATGTTTTTTTAAACAATTAACTGAGCTCGCTAGAACCAGCTCCTGGGGGCAGTCTATTCCACATTCTCACAGCTCTAACTGTGATGTGTTCACTGTTGTTTTTCTTTTGTTCTTTGATGTCTGAATAACTTTACAATAGGGTTGCTTTAAATATAACATTTGGTGACTTTGCTTTCTTTCTAAGAGCTAATAATGTTCGGAGAGTTGTGTACAATTTCTATTGCAGTATATACAGTACCTGTGAGTACATCCTAAAAATAGAGTATCATTTTCTCACAGGTCGTGTCTATTCTCCTTGTACAATACATTAACTGTGTTTACAGTCTATTGAGAGGATAAGTGCAGCCGGCTGACTTAATATCAGTTGTTTCCAAACATCTTATTTTTTTGTTCTCAAGGTTGTTCATTTAACACACTCAGTCTGCAGTAGCGCTGCCACCATTGTATAATGTCTATTTTCCACACAAGGATAAAACATCATGGAGACAACCTCTAATTTCTTTCATTTCAGAGTCTTTATTTGCACTGCGATCAGTTTAGCTCAGGACACACATTATTTTTCTTCCAGGTTTTGGAGATTTTTTAAAAATCTTTTCAAGATGAGCTATATAAAGAAGTGATAAGATTGTAGGTGGGTCATAGTTTTTAAAGGTCATCTGTCATGATAGGAGTATGTGGCTACCATTACTGACCCCCTTCTGAAAATTATATTTGGGCAGCTGGCTTAAAGCTGAACTCCAACCAGCTTTCCAAAAATATAATATGTGGGTGCCCTCCCAATCTGCTATATTAGGGATCTAATGCTTGTTTACTCTGGGGGGCATGTATGAGAGAGAACTACCTTATTCTACAGTCCCCCATGCTTTCTACCTGCCGGTTCTGTTATTCATGACAGGTCCCACGAAGCATTGAAAGCTCCCACTACAAATCATACAGCATTGTGACCATTGTGAATAAGATAGGTGCTTATAGTGACCGCCACAGATGTCTCCATGCAGAACTTCAGATATGGTCAGAGACCTCAGTCACTTGGTCACTGTGTCACCTTGAGAAAGGGACACTGCGCGGCCCCCGAAATGTTGACTATTTTTTACCTATGTGATGTTGTTTGCAACAATCAATATTTTATTTGCATTTTGGAGTGCTGGTAACCTATCTACACAACTATGTGGTCCCACAAAGTCACTCCACTCTTCTGGTCATGTGGTCACCATCGTCATCATGTACAATATAGGACCAGGGACCAGTGCGGGTACTGCATTGTAACTAACGTTGAGGGCCCAACCACATTCCATCACTGAAGTGGGGGTGAAAAAGAAAGAGAAGAGATTCTGACACTTTTCCGACATTCATTTAAAGTATGCTCGTTCTTAGTCTGTGATTAAAAAGTAGTTAAAGTGGAACTACATCTCCTATCCTTTACAGCCGAGGAAGGTGCAATTGTAGCCTCTATTTGGGTTGCAGTTACCATGGTGCTGCTCATGTGATTAGCTATGACACCAGTCATCTGAGGATTTAAAAGTTCAGTTGAGAGCTGAAATAAGCACTCTGGAAACTTTGACATTTGAAATGCCTTACAGTGACTCTAAACTCAGGAGTTGAACCCTAAAAATACATTCAAGTATCATAACTTTTTTTTTTTAAATATCTTTATTTTTAAATTTTACAATTTCATTAGAAAAAAATGGACATTTTGGATTACACACAACACAGTATGGTTTGATTGTACCCAAGGAATTAAGATCAGATGCCCCCACTTGAAGGAAAAAAGGATTAGGTGTTGTACATCGTCTCAGACCTCACTTGTCTAAACCTTGGCCAGCAAGAAAGTGATGTGTATGCTTTAGACAGTCATCCGTATCAGGCAATCTTGTTGGCACATCCCTATGGACGAGTCGTTCATAGTTACCCACCAATTCTCCTGTGATGTCAAGAGGGGGACATAAAGGGAACACAAGAAAAAGAAAAGGCAGGACTGAGGAGACAGTGCAGCCGAGTAGAAGCAAGTAGTATCATAACTTTTAACAAAAATGTATCTTATTTGTGTATCACTCGGCTGTAGATCCTCAAATCATCT